AATAACACACCTGACTTTTTTGTCAACGACCTTATTTCTAATAAAACCGTTTGCCTATTTCGGCACTATTTTTATCCAACTTCATCTTTTGCTAGCTTAGCCACTGAAATGAAGAAGGAATGCGAGGAAAGTTGTAAAAGCCTGCTCACTGTCCTCTGCATTGTTTACCGTCTTGTTTCTGATTCACCGACAGCATACAAAGTTTGGCCCTAAAAAATCTTTTCGTTTAAACGGTACCCACTTATAAAAAATTTACAACAAGTATGTAATTACACAAAAAGTCAAATATTAAGCGTAAATTAAATTTTCTATGTAACTGCTCATAAATGTTGAATACATGAAAACTTAAAAATTTTTGAGATTCGTAAGCGAGACGAACATCAAGTGCAAAAGCTCAGCTTCTTTTTGATTGATTTCAGTTGACTTGAAAAACCAGACTAGTGGCATGCAACATCAGACTTCATTGTCGAAATTTAATACGATTACTGATGATAATTTTTTACATAAAGGTTTACTTTTATAACGAAGTTAATTTTAAATAAAAACTAACTGTAGGCTATATGACAAAATTTGTGGTTTTTCCAAAATGCATGATGAAATTGAAACTCTAATATGTTTATAATTTGTTTCATTCGATTGATATCGTTATTCGAATTGCTTTTTATAATTCAATGTTTCAATTGTTTACTATTTTGAATTAAAATTATTTCTTGTTTGAAGTTTCCAAACTCAGCATTTGAATGTTAAGTAAAAACTTTACTTTTCTAAACGTTCTCATTAATATAAATCTATTAAACTAACGCAGCATTATATTTTTTGACGATGGTCCTCCGATATTGCTAAGAAATTTTGATGTTTGGTACGCTAATTTGATCCGAGGAGAGATGTTTATATTTTGTTATTTCAGTGTGAACATATTTTTAAAAAAATAAATACATGAGTTTGTTACAAAGAGAAATCTATTTTGTCAAACAATGATTTTATTTTTTGAAATAGTAATGAGATGCCACAGAACAACTTCATCAGAAAGAAAACTGTATATTTCTATCGCAAAGGATTCGCTGTTTCCGACCATTTCAGTAACAATTTGTACAAACTAAGATCTTAGGTTATTTCATCAATAACAAAACTAATCAGTTGTTAAAAAACCAAGATTTTATTGTCAAATATTTTATTAAATATCTAAAATAACAAAACCAAAAAAATGGAAATCTATTGTTGTTTAAATGCTGTCAAATATATGGAAATCATGCTTCATGGATTAAAATTAGATTCCATTTTCAGAAAGTAAGTCTTTTTAAATTAATAAAAGAATTTAAAGATCAATCACACTTCACCATCTTCATCATCTTCGACCTTCTCCTTGGGTGTCTCATCATTATCACCATCGTTATAACGCTCTATCTCAACTTTGCGTTTCTTGGTAAGAGGCTTAAATTTCGACTTTGTTGAATTTTTTGAAATTGCTGGCTCTTTAGCTGAAGAACAAACAGATCTAACAATCGAAGCAGACGCTGAAATGTATAAAGCTATTTCTGATTCATACCTTTCCTTATCTTTGGCAGCCATGATTTGATACTTTGTTTTGTTTTTGCACAATTTCCATTTTTCGCCCAGTTCCTTAGTAACTTGCCTGGCGGGCATAGCTGGAAAGTTTGCTGTCATTTTTTGGCGTTGTTCCAACGAAAAATATGCATATGCAGACATCGCGGCTTTCGGTACGTTCGAATCTTTTTTATTTCTTTTTCTTTTCTCACCGCCGGTAGGTACATAGTTGGCCATACCCTCCTGGTATCTCACTAAATCCAGGGCTTCCATCTCCTCATATTTCTTCTTGTCTTCCTTTGAAAAATTCTTCCACATTTCACAAGCCTGCTTGAAAAACTCCGTTGAAGACAGTGGTTCACCAGGATTTTACATTTTCTCTTCCTTGCTGGTTTTCAGAAAAAATGAAAAAGCCGATGTCCTACATAATGGTTTTTCTGAGTTTCTCGAAATTTTGCTCATATTAACTGATTGTTTATTAATGTTTTGGAAACGATAAAATTACAAGAAATTTTTCTAGTGGACAGATCGAATTAAATGACGAAATACAATTTGAAGCCCGATTACGCCAATATATATAGTAGCAGTCTATGTAGGGCTGGGCCTTGTAACAATGAACTAAGAATCATTTACGACATCGCTTTAATATGACTTTGTTGTTTAATTTTTATGGGCTAATTAACTTTGTCAGATATTTGAATTTTTTTGTTTATTTTTAATTAAGTTTTAGTTTTTCAAAAGTTAACGCTAATTGTAAATTCATGACACAGCTGGTTTTACAATTTATTTTCCGATAAGTTGTGTAGTAGCTAGCCTAATCCACATCGTACATTTTTTTAATCACACATAAAAAAAGGCACTGCATAGAATATAGTAACATAAAAAAAATCAAATAATAAATGTAAATTAAATTTATGTAAGTCATAGGTCTGTCTTCTTCGTTCCAGTGCTTGAGTTTGAACCACAAAAAGTTACTAACCAGCCTGCTGTGCGTATGTTTCGGGGTCGTTTTGTACATTTACACATAACTAAGTAAATTGTTTTCGATCCAATTTGGATTGCGAGCCTCTCTTCGGCGCTATGGACAAGGTGCTACTCAAATGACTCTTTATAGTTATTATTAAAATCTTAAATTTGTTAGAACGTAATTAAAGAAACTTTTTGAGCAGTTTTTGTAACAGTTTTTATCAAAATATCAAAATTTTTGCCGTTATTATTTGCAAACTGACGAGCTGAATCAAATATGAAAAAAATTTATTGGTGTGGCTGAAAATTGAAAAAAATGCTTTCGAGACATTTTAATCTGTGTCTGAATGTTGGGGCTGCAAACATACAGGTCTACGCATTTGCCTAATTGTTGATGGGCTCTACATAGCTACAAGTTATTATTATATCGGGGACCAGACACCTCATCATACGAGGTATTTCATCATTGCCCATTTCATCATTATAGCAATTCATCATTACAGTATTTCACGATCATTACATTCTATCACTAATGTGATCTTAAGATCACAAGATTTTATGAGATCTTAAGATCATAGAATTACTGGCCTTGCTAAGAAATCTCTTATCAGATTATGATTTGATATACCCTCGGTGCACAGCAGCAGTGCCCCATTCTTAGCTATGGTAATTAGTCAAGACAATTATTTTTTAATTTAAAAGTAAAAAGTTAATTTACTGTTTAAATGCACTTTATGCAATGACGAAATGTTACGGTGATGAAGTACTACAATGATGAATTTCTATAATGATGAAATGTTGCAACAATGAGGAAATGTCTCGTATGCTGAGATGTCACGGCTTGTTAAGCAGTTTTTAAAGTTTATACAATATTTAATCTTCCTAGGTTGACAGTTTCTTGTTATTTACTATCCTTTTTAGAAGCGCACATCAAATAACCTAATTAAAAGCAACATTATAAGAAAAACCTCAGCCAGCAGTCTCTAATTAAATGTTGCGCGTGTCATTCAACCTCGTGTCACGCCATGCCTCGGAACAGTAACGTGTTTATATTACAATAAAATCTTGCATACAAACTCTCCCCTTGCTCTTGTTTATAGAAACATTTTTATAGTTTTCAATGATGTTTCGTCATTTCGGAAATATGTTTTAAAGTAACTGGTGTAGTTTTAAAATTTTGTTAAATAAATTCTGATTAATAAAACTTTAAAAATTTAAACTGGTAGTTTAGCCAAAATTATAAGTTGAGGTTATATTTCATTAATTTTTAGATATTTTTTTAGATTTTTATAAAAATAGCAGTAAACAGCTTTTAAATCCTATTTAAATCGATTGAACGAATTTTTATTTTTTTTGATTGACAAATGATTTCTACATCTTTCTATTACTCACGTTTGTTTTCTTGTTTTGAATTACATCGCATCACGTCAGCCTCATCATCTCCACAGTCTCCTGCCTCCACAAACAATCTCCACGAAGCCTTTATCCTTTCACATTTCAACAGCATAAATAAAATCTGCTGTACGGCGATAATGAAAAAAAAAAATTTCTGAAAAATGACGCGAACGTGTGGCGATCATTAGCAGCCAGCGTCTGTTGTTTGTTCTGATCGACGCCCGCCACATAAACAACATCCGAAGTCGCTGCATCAAAATAGAAACAACCACTTTATTATCGAAAACGTAATTAGATGCTTCGCGGAGCCGAGACATTAGTGGCAAGTATTGTTTATAGCAACATTAATAACAATCTAGTAGCTTTAGCATTACAATTATTAAGTATCGCCAGCAGTAGTTCGCATTAGGAATAGTTTTAGTTACTTAATAGTGGTAGTAACAGTTAGATGTTTTTCTTTTGGTTGTGTTGTTATTAGTGATAACGCATTTGATTTCGTTTGGTCAATGTTATATTTGATTACTCTGTTAACATTTTACAATGTGGCTATAGTCTTTAGGTTACTCGATAACTTCAACATAGTCTTCTTAATTTTGTTTGGGAGCAAATAATAAAATATCGTATCGTAAATAACGCAATTGGTTTAGTAATTAGCATCAACAATGGAATTATGGAATTGTTAGTGGGAGTAGTTGGAAAATTTTAACACTTTGACTCCATGTATTTAGAAATTTTTCTACGCCTGTTGTTTCGATTCCAACACGTTTCATGTACACACCGCGTGGAGTTTGTAAGTGAAAATGAAAATTATCACTGCATTATTAGCAACCTAAATATTTAATGAATGTAAAAAAAATAAATAGAATCAGATTGGAGAAAAAACACAAAGCCAAGCAGGATTCACTTTCAATTTCACCCCGAACTTGAAACGAAATGATCTTCCATTTATACTCCTTAAGATTTAAAGCCCTTCAAAGTTCAGTCAAAATCTTTTAGCGTTAGACTACTATAACACGGCTGTTTTTTTAAGTGAACTTGTTAAGCCAGTTAGAAACAGGGTTCATCGTAGGTGAATCACCTCTAAATTAATTTGTAAACAAAAGAAACTGCATGCTAGATGCACGTTAATAAATGCATCATTCATTCATTCATTCGTTCGTTCGATATATACAGCATACGTCTATCTCGCTATGTTTGTTAGACAACCTATTTTGCAGTGATTGGTGCCAAAAAATTGCTAAATGTTGGTTCTTGAAAACATTCATTTCAATTAAAGTTAACTGGCTTTTTTAATATCTTTATTCAATGTTTATAGTTTTAAATTTTAAAGTGCACTTTTTCAACTGTAAACATATTTAAACTTTGATTTTTGTCAGCAGTTAAATTTTCATACAATTTCTAAAATAGTGAATTGAATTTTTAGTCGAGTGTTTAACGAACTAATAGAAAAAAAACCTTTGAATTTTACATTAAATAAATCTTAATTGGAATATAAATTGTAGATCAGAAGATTTTTTTTATAAACTACTACGGCCACAGAGCAATCCATGTTAGATACAATACTGACTGTCACTGCCGAATGCAAAGTGAACCTCGACTATTATTATTGACGCACATTGTTGGAACATTTCATTTTTGCCTGTTTGTCGAATGTTCAGTTTGTCCATGAAAAATTAATTAAAGTAGTATGAATATTAGTAGTACACAGACCTCAAAATTTTAAAGTTAGGAGCGATGGTTTGAATGATGGAAATCACGTTTTGGGAATAAGTACAATTCTTAATGAACTGTAACGTTACGTTTAAATAGCATTCATTATGTTTTTAATGTATCATCAATTAACTTTGAGATTATTTTCAAATTTGGTTGATAAATTTGTTTCATATTTTGAGAGAGTGTTCGTCAGATGTCCTCTCTGCTGTATATTTATCTAACATGCTACTGATTGCAAGCTGCTAATAATCCTGCTCAATCATTAATAATATACATTCAGTGAAAATTAAAACATAAATATGCAATATTTAAATATGATAATATATACGTACACAGGCACATGTACTCACAATTACAAATTATTTTAAAGGTTTGTCATCATTTTTATAAAAACTTGAATGTTCTCTAGACTCATTAGAACAACGCTGGATCATCAGTGAGTTGGACTTTGATCGAACGGGACGAGAAAATTTACTCAATAAAATCAAGATCTTCAATCTTTCATAAAACTCATACGACTATTTATAATGTCACTCATGAAAAAGTGAAATCAATGCTGACCACAACATTGTGAATGGCCGGCGAGATAGCTCAGTGGTTCAAATGCGCACTGAGTCAAACATCTCAATGGCTATCATATACACAGCGTGTATGATGCGGTGCTTGCGCGTGTACATAAAAACATGTGTACGTCGTCTGAAAAGGATAAAGACAAAAAAAAGATCAATCCCATCTGTTTCGCCTGCAATGAAACATAGTAACAACAATTATCTTCAAAATTTCAATTTAAAATCAAATAAAATCAATTTAAAATCAAATAAAAATGCGTAAAATGTTCAATCTTTTGTGAAATCAAATTAAAACTAAAATGTATCAAATAAAAAAAAATTTAAATTAAAAAATGATGAAAAGAAAACTTCATGATGTCGGAATGCGATGATATAGGCATGTACTTTTGACCGAAAGGAGCTTATGGAAGCACCTTCCAGGTTAATCTTCGCTTAATTGGACAATATTTGACGACAGGATGTTACGTAATAAAAAAAATATTACAATAACAACAAAAATTTATCAAAAAATTTTCATGATGCTGTTTGACATTTATAAAATTGCGAAAAAAATGAAAAGAGGCCAGCTCTCAATCTCAGCTCTGGATTAACAAGCAGTGGGTAAAAAAATGAAATGAAATTTTTAAAAAGTTAAAAATATGGAAAAAAAAGATTATGGTTACAAAACAACTGCATAAAAAAGTAAAAGAGGAGAATGAAATATGCCTCCAGGAGATAAATGAATCA